AATTTTACAGAGAAAGTAAAGAAAATAAATGCTGCCATCCACTATCCCTCAACAGTTTATTAAAAACTGAACTCTGAAAGACAGGCAGGATCTAATCAAGTCCTCTAGAAAATCAATCGGGCCCCTGCCCAGTTTTGTGTCCAGTTTTCTCAACCACCCACGTAACCTTCAATCCCCACTAGTTAAAGCGTCAGTCGCAAGAATAAACCTCATACATTAAAAAGGCCTATGCAGTTCTAGCATACAAGTACCACAAGGTATAAGTAGGAGTCTCAAATAAAATAAAATAAAATAAGAAAAAACAAAAAAAAAAGCTTTCTCCTTGGAAATATATTGTAGTGTCATTGCAGGCTGGAATATTACCATTAGATCACAGCTATCAAGCAATCCAACTTCCAAAAGTTATTGGTAATGATAGAGAAAGCGCATGCGATCAGACTAACAGACTAGAAGGTAAGAACAAGCTTCTGTACTTTTGATATCCTAAAAAAAATCTATTTCACCTGAAAAACCTCCAAGTGGAATTTTGATGATATCTCATTGATACAAGTCCTAGCAAAGGGAGTCAAGTTTTGCTGAACCACTAATATTGCTCTGAAAACATTCTCGGACTTCATGAGATTGGTATAGGTCTTCATTGTCTTAACACCAACCTTTTGTTCATCAGGGAAGAAAACATAAATCTGGAACGCAAGAGATAAAGAAGAATATGAAGAAGAAAATAGAAACATTCTGTGAAAATATACATACCCTAGAATAAATAAGAAACACCTGATCTAGCCCCAATATTTGACCTACATATGCTATTTCAAGGACAATTTGCAATTATATCAAAATGCTTAACATAAACACTTCAATGAAAATGATGCATGTATTTGTTGTAATTAATCCACATGCACAACCATTCTGAAAGAAAAGAAAAAAGACAAAGGGGGAAGACAAGCAAGAAGAGCTATTGAACTATAATGCCATCAACGTTGAGGTTGAATAAAATTCTAATTCCATCGAATATGAACGAGTACAAATGACAAAAATGATATAAACTTGAACAAAAATAGTAGTTTAATTCAAAGTAATTTCACATCCAAGTAAAATTGAATGTTTTTGTTATTTATTCCTTAATTGCTATGAAATTGGAGATAGAAGTGAAGTTGATTTAATATAAATTATAACTTTTAACTATCAAATAACTAACTTCTACGAATTAATGAGAATACAGTAAGTTTGAACAAAGGACAACCTAAGGTTATTACAAATTCTGTAATTCCATATGCAGAGTGATCCCCTCCATAAAAATCTTAATTGCATTCTTGTGTACTCCAATAACTGTTAAGCCATTCTAAGATAAAAGAATCAATGTATCTTTTCAGCATGGTATAATAATCCATGGCATCTAAAGTATGCGTGTGGTATAGTCTTGCTTATTCACCATAAATTTACTGCACTCACTACCCCATTTCACTATCTGGGACACACTTCCAACCCCAACATGATTCCCTACTTCTTTAAAGAAACACAAAACATAACTAAGGAATTTCTCTAAACCATGACCTACTAATGCTACTAAACTTCAAGGATGACCAAATCCTTTGGCTTTGTTACAAAGAGTTTGAGCAGTACCTGATCAGAGCTATCACTTCTCTTTGCTTTATTAATCACAAGGTCCTCTCTCTTCATGTTTTCACCATACTTAGAGAGGAATTGTTGTTTGGACATATTCAGCTCTGTGTCCGTAACAAAATAACCCCGATCCTTCAACATTTGCATCACCGTCCTCCGGATTCTGTGAAGCCTTCTCACCTCCTCATCCGACAGAGTCATTTTGTTTACTGACAAAATTTCAAAAAGGCAGACGAATTCACAAACGCATACAAAAGAAAAGTAAGTTTAAGCCCCTCACAATGAACAACAAAAGTTCAATATTTCACTTAAAAGTTCAATATTTCACTTATGCAGATAATAAATAAAAGAGGAGACCTTTAAGAATCGACAAAAAGATTAGTGAAGAACAAAATTATTCACAGATGCTATAAAGTCGAGAAAGAATTATGAGAATCAAACAGGCAGAAACACCAAGCAGAGAAACATAACAGCTGCGGTGGGATAATGCAACTAGGGTGGTTCAACGGTACAAAACCGCTCTCAAATTATTAGGTTATTTCTGAACGTAAGGCCGAAACAAACAAAGTAATGACACAACCGGAATGGTCTTTCCGGCCCTGTTCCTGGCCTTTTCCATCCCTAATTTTTTTTTTTTACTGTAATTTGTCGACCAAACATAAATTTTACGGAAAAAAACCCTACAAATATCATTATACAAACATGGCTTAACAACAGAAAGATTCTTTTAAAAAATCTAAAATATTCAACTAAAAAAATTCACTTTACAATATAGAGAAGAAGAGAGGCCCTGTTCTCGTGCGCGAGATTCAGCAAAATCACACAGAGAGAGCTGCCGGAGTTAGGAGAAGAAGAAGAGTAGTAGGTGCTGCCGGGTCGAAGCGTAGTTCGAGAGGGAGAGAAGCGCAGAAGCGTAGTTCGAGAGAAAGTTGAAGAATCAAGAGAGACGAACTGGGGCGGCGGGGGTGTCTGCTGAATTTTTCAACTGTGTAAAATAGCCGACGTGAGCAAATTTATTCTAATTCGATTCTAATAATCATCTCTTCGTAATTTTGTTTTATGGGTTATTTAATAATTTATTTTTATAATATATATATATACATAAATTTACTTAATAATTAATAAATAAAATTATTTAGTATTTATATACTTACATTATTTTTTCCTTTTTAAGATGCAAAAATTAGTCTATGCCAACACAACAACTACCTTATACCTTATCTTACTGTATATTCTGAATTTATTTTTTCCCTATTTCATTATTGTTAATTTTGCCTCCAAAAATGCACAAAACGCACCGTATTTGTTATTGTGAGAGCGTTCTAACAAGTAAACCCTCTTCCTTTCGCTCCACCTGATCCTCCCCTTACCTGTCCCCCACCTCTGTCTGAGAATTCTGGTTTGTCTCGCTGTAAAGAGATGAAGCTGAAGCAATTAGAAAGCCTTTTGGGTGATCTTCAACAGTTCACCAACCCTAAGGTCTCTTCTCTCTTTCTGTCGGGGTTTATTTATTTATTTTAGTTGTTGGATAATCAGTCTGGTTATGGTTTATTGTATGGTTGTAGGTGGAATTGGAGCAGTACCCAACTGGACCTCACATTGCTTCTCGCATGCTTTACATGGTATATATGCAGATCATTATATGTAATACCTTATATTTAGGTCTTTAATCTCCCAAATCAAATAATAAGACATTACAGGTTTATCCCCATCTTCGTCTTTGTTTGCTTCGATGTTCTTTTACTGATTTTGGTCTCCGTCCCACGAGAAAAATTTTAATTCCCTGTTGTTAGCGTTTTTCAGAAATGTGACTCAGGGGGTGTCATGTTGTTGAACAGGTGAAGGGTGGAGAATAAGGGTTGATTGTGACATTGTTAGTAGAAGTTCTTGCGACTTCACATATTTAGAAAACTAAGAGTTAGGAACTGATATGAAAATGGTAACGAGCACTTTTTTGGTATTTTACTCTTTTATGGTTATTTTGATGTTGAAATTTGATGATTTGATTTTCATGGGAATGCTGGCAATTGGCGCAGGAGCAGCACTTGCAGAGAATGAAATAAATTTTTCTTCATTTTAGTTATGTAGTTTTTCTTTTCCTGTTTCCCTTTAAGTTTCAGAAATTGTGCTACACGTTATTGAACTTGCAACCTGATATTCGCCAATCGTTTTGTTGGAGCACTAGGCCAAATTTATGATTTTTTTTTTTTGCTTTGAATAATTTCAAATCTTCTCCTGATTGACTAGGCAGAGAATTCGTTTGGGGATATTAGCAGCAAGGTAGTGGCTGATTTTGGTTGTGGATGTGGTTCATTAGGTGCTGCTGCTGCTCTTTTGGGAGCTGAGTAAGTAATATCTTTTCATTTTCTTTTGTTTTGACTCTTTTACATTCTTTTAGAATGTTAATTTATTTTGGGTTTCAAAGTGTTCTAAAGACAGTTTAGCAAATCTTCTTGTTTTCTTTGGTCTTAATTTTCAACTTGACCAAATTTGCAAATTCAACAGACTGCATATTCAACAAAGAATGGAGTTATCAATCTGTTTTCTTACTGCTTGTCAAGATCTGACCATATTTGCTTCAGTGGTTTCATCTTAACCTTTTAGTGTTTTGATAGGCAGGTTATTGGGTTTGACATTGATAGTGAATCTCTTGAGTTAGCATCATTAAATGCAGATGAACTTGAGGTACTGGCTTTTTCTTATATTGAGTGCTAATAATGTTGCAAATGTCTTGACTAGGATAAGTCTGTAATTTTTTTCCAATGAATGGAAGTCTAAGCCGCGGAAGGGGGAGAAGGGGGTGGGAATTCCGTTGGAAGGAAGCATATGATGTGAAATGCTTGTTGAATGTATTTTTTGATTAAATAATTACTAATTTGTGTGCATTAATGATGATCAACTAATGAATTTTTTCTTTGAAATCAACCAAATCTGCAGTTGGATATGAGCTTTGTTCAGTGTGACATCAAACACTTAGCTTTGAGAGGTAAAATCACGTCGCTCCTTTTCTGTGTATATATTATGCATACATGACTATGTCTCTCTTGGATAGCAGACCCTTCATTACAACAAACAGTTCTAGGAAAAAAAGAAAATGTGGACTTAGTTAGATGGTTGGCTTGTGTACTATTCTGACTTTCCTGAGATTATCCAATCATATTCAGCTGTCTTGGCAGTATCCAGTTAATAGTTACCACAAAAAGTCTTGGTTAGGTTAGAAACTTTTAATTAGAGTTAATTCTGGTCTGCACATTGTTTATTTAATTAACATCCTTAATCCAACAAATTTTTCCTCTCTGTGCTGCATGTCACTGTCTCACCGTCCTTAATGTCCTGGGACAACTTATCGCCTGTCTTTAATGTCCTGGGACAACTTATTTACAAAGGGACTTTTGTATTCTGTATATTTCTTCTTCTTAACATGAAACAAATTACTGCTAGTACTTTTAGCTGTCAAACATTGTAGGTTTTTTTCTTGGAGATGTATCTGCATGGAAGCATTTGGCTAGAGGGTCAGAGATTTTGATAGAGGGATTCTTTCATTATGTTAGAACATCATTGATATGTGCTGCCCTGGACTACATGTGATTGTTAAAGTAAATTATGCTTTTAAGTTAATTTTTAACATTAAGAAATTTACGGAAATTTTTTACGGCTGTTTTCTTGCTGCAAGGCTCCTGAAATATATTATTTGACTCTCTTGATCTGTATCTTAGGTCAGATTGTTGATACTGTTATAATGAATCCTCCCTTTGGAACCCGAAAAAAGGGTGCTGACATGGAGTTTCTCTTTGTTGCATTGAAGGTAAAGTATCATAATTGATTTCTTTTGTGAAAGGGCATCTGAAAATTTTTTTTTGGATCTGATGTCTATTTATTGCTGTCTCAGGTTGCATCTGGAGCAGTTTACTCATTGCACAAGTCCTCAACAAGAGAAGTGAGTATCTCACTGAATGTTCCAGAATTGATGTAGGGACTTTTCACATCACTGTAATAGGTTCCTGTCTTTTGGTTTTAGTCTCATGTGGTACTCATGTTCCTCATCATGCTACCGTGCGCATTTAAAACGTTTTTCCATTATATAAGTTTTAACAACACTTGTTCTGCCCAGCATTTTGTAAACAATGTGCTTAAATTCTTTGTGCATTAGAAGCATACAGGAAAAACAGACATCTATGCCACATTCAAAGAAAGGGTGGAAGTCTGGAAGATGAGCCATCAAAATGATTAGATCATGCTTAGGTACATGGGTTTATTTCCCTAGCAGAATAGATAAATATTAGCAGTCAAGTTTTGCTACATGTAGTGCCTGTTGGGTTATTTGGAAGGAATGGAACATGAGAGTTTTTAAGGGCATAGAATTTAATTTTGATATGTTTTAAGACTTAAGGTTCTAGATCCTGGGCTTTTTGGTTAAGGCTTTATTTTCATATTTACGAAGATTTCAGGGATCTTATCTATGATTTCGGTACACTTGTGAACCTCTTGTATCAAGTTGCATCCTCTTGGTGTCTTTTAATACTAATCAATCTTTTACGTAAAGAAAACATTTTATGTTTATTTTTCTTCCCTTTTCGGATTAAATAACTCCATAGAGCAGATTTGAGAGTTTTAGCTCTTGTTGAATCACAGATTCTTACATGACTAAGTTTTGGGAAAACTAGGTTCACTTACATCTAAATCTCATTTAAGAATACATTATCCAGGAAAGTATATTGAATTTTGCACCATTAGCCTATGAAGGCCAACATTATGTTATAGAGTTCCGTCTGTATCATTCATTAAATCCAATGTAGGTGACCTGATTTTGTAACTTTATTTTAAATCCCTCGGCTGGATTTGTTTGTAGTTGAAGGTGAGTTTTGGTTTCTGAGAGTAAAAACAAAGAGGTGCTCAATATAACCAAGCTCATGTTCCGTTCCCATGCATTCGAAATCATATTGGTTTCCTGATTGATTGACATTTCATCTTTATGACCTTAATCATTTTCAAGTATGCGACTTAGCACTTTACCAAGTAAATTCACACTGTAATTGCTGTGCAGTGCTTTCAACTGATTATGATGTGTTCATCATTTTTTTAACCTTTCAGCATGTGAAAAGAACAGCCTTGAGGGAGTTCAATGCTAGCAGTGCTGAAGTTTTGTGCGAGGTAAATCCCAAATTAAGTTAAAAAAAAAAAAAAAGAGGTTTTCAGAGGTGGGTGATGACCAAAATGATTAGCTTAAGAGTTGATTTCACTAATATGAATGTGCAAATTATCTGTGACAGTTGATTTTACAAAAAAGAGTATATTAAGACTAATGCAATCATTAACGAAAAATGATTTTGAGATTGATCAAAGGATTGAACCAAACTTTAACTTGAGAAGTATTTTTATGTCCTTAAATGCCATTTCTCACCTAGGTTCTTTTTATTCCTTCTCCAGCTCCGGTTTGACATTCCACAGCTATACAAGTTTCACAAGAAAAGAGAGATGGATGTTGCTGTTGATCTCTGGCGATTTGTGCCCAAAAGGAATTAGGCCAAGGGTCATTTAGAGTTTACTTACTATGTTCTGGAACAAATTTTGAAAGTTGTATAAAGTTCATTTGTATATTTGTGCTTATTTCAATTGGAAAACTAAGATAAAATTCTACCTTAAAATGATAACATTTAAGTTTATATAGAATTTCATCACTATAGTTCTTTTTAAAATCCACGTATTCTCAAAGCATCTATGATATGATATTAAAGAAACGTTATAAATTTAAAACTTTTTAAAAATAAACTATAAATAATGAATAATAGCTCATGAGCAAACCCAGCTACATGAGCAATCTCGCTTGAGCGAAATAAATTTATGAATTTTCTGTCTGAGAATCTGCTTAGCCTTTTTTTCCAGCCTATCAATTTTCTATGTGAGAAAATAAATGATTCGTCATATAACCAACCAACCAACTAAATTAATGTTACATATCAGGAGAACACCCAGATGTAATCCCTAAGTTGATCCGCACGAAACTTTGTGAAGAAGAGATGAACAACCTGCTGAATATTGTCGGTCCATTTTCAGATTCACTGCAACCAGTCCAAAGGTCCCTGAGGTTTTGACGTAAGGGAACCATTATTCGCTTCCTGTAAATTATCCGAAGGTTCTGAAGGAGATGGTTCAAGCTCTAGATCATCAGCAACAACCTCTGGAATCTCATCCAACAGACGCGATTGTTCAGCTGGAGTCTCAAGTAACTGCTTTTTCTCCAGGTACTCATACAGCGTAAATAAGCTAAGGAAGTTAAGAATCAAATGATATCTAATCAGGTGGTTTAATTCTCACTATCTACAAGAAATTGAATTCCTCCACCACAAAAACTACACCAATTAGATACTAATTCCAGAAATATAAGCAGCTTTACCCTATCAGAAAAGTAATATAAAAAGTGCAGGACATGCTACAGAGTAGCAAATCATAAGCAGTCAAGTTACAGAACCAATGAAGGATATTCTTTGCGCCACCCCTTCTCGTTGGCTTGATCAATACGCCTTTGTAACAATGCACTTTCCGCTTCAAGCCACTGAAAAATCCCCCAAATGGAAAATAAACAGAAAGAAAGCAGAACAACTCAATGCACAATTATATCCAGCAAATGATAAGCGTCCAGCCAAACAGGAGACATGAGAACCAATATCTTGAATTTAAACTGATAATTTACAGCTCCCACATAACTTAAAATGTATTGCAAACAGCATAGAGTCATGGAAGAGCATTTAGCATGTGGTATTTTCATATCCTGAAATCCCCTTGATAATCTCTAACTTAAAACAACAGATAAATAATGGGCTTGATAAAAGAAATGCTTGCCACACGAAAAAAATTTCAATGTTAAAAATAGAAGAGGATTATTGGCCTCAACAGACAAACACATCAACTTACTGCATGTACAAAGATAGAAGAAGTAAAAGAAAATCACTTAATCTCTTCTGTGAACAAGCCAGTGTCGAAATACATACATGCTTCGTTACATCCTCATGCAAAATTCGAGCCTTTTCTTCCAGTTCCACCTACCAAAATGTTACACAAACACATCAATTCCTGGGAAAAAATGATAGAAAGAAACCAAATTAAAAACCATATATAGGAAAGTTTAGGGGGTGGGAGTGGAGAATGAGAGAACCATATAGAAAAAATAAATCCCCAGAAAACAGATGGTGGTACAATCAGATAATAAGATTTTAATTTAAGCCAACAACACAGATCTACTATTCATGTTCAGGTAAGATTTTAGAAGAAAAGAAAGATTGCTTCTAATCTGAAACACTGAAAACAGAAAAGTGAGTTCTTCCTAAAATACCAGCATTACACTATAGATTTTACTAAATACAAGATTATTAGCTATTTGGAAATTTATCAAACCAAAACTTGCATAGCACCCAAGGCATGTAAAGAATACAATCTTTCTTCCATTTTGAGGCACTAGCAAAATAGCAATATTGTTTATATATATCAAGGATAACCTCAAAATTACTGTCTCAGCTGTGGATAGATGACACTATCTTCTGCAGACACTTACATTTCCAGGTTCCAGCTCAACTTAGCTATGCCTTATATAAATAAGATGACATTGCGACAAGAATCCCTCTCGTCCAATGTTCCTCCTCTTCAGGAATAAACTTCAAGATAGTTCCTTAATAACTTTAATAGTAAGTTTTTCCTAATTTTATTTTACTACATAAACCCTATCATCTTAGTTTGACCCTTCTCATATTTACTCTCGCATATAAGCCTCACATATTCACATCATTGCATCCTTACATCACAGTACCAGGATTTTAGAAACGAAATTACCAAACAGAGCCGACCAAGAAGCCACTTGGCTTTTTAATGCAAAGATGTTAACTAAGGATACAACAAACTGTTGTAAGTTGTCTCCTTAGTGCAACTGAGCTGTCTCTTCTTATCAATGAACCATGTCATTACCCATAAAACTACAAGGTTTGCCAACAAATAAAGAAGAAGGCCTTTAGTCAGCAGAAGGATTGGAACTAGTTTTTTTCTCTTTTTTTTCCCCCAAAGGAATAAGGGTCCTCATCCATTTAATTAATGAAAAGTTTGAACTTACAACAGTTGGCCTCTTGAGCAACTCATCCTTTACCCTTTGGTGCAAGTCCTTACATTCTTCCTGCAAACAAGAGAACGCATATATGCCATATGAAATGCACCACAATTTTCCATGCAACTGAGGTGATATGCATTTCTTGTATGCTTGTGAGATCCATATGATCTTTATAAATCTTTTGAACACATCACCAAAGATCGAAAGAAGACATCTCAATGAAATTTGATTGTCAAGTGATGGACAATCCTAAAAACTAATCAGGATGCAGAGATTGATGATTTAAAAAACAACCTCAGAGAAGTCATCATCTGAAAGCATAGAAATCCGAACGTCTCTTATAAAGTTTGAAACTTGAAGAAGAATATCATCAGTTCCGGAGGTTTTCTTAAGACCTGGAAAACACAAAATACTATCATCACAAGTATTTGAGAGAATGAGACATATGAGCAGCAAATGAGTATTAAAAAAACTCATGTAGGCAGAAAATCTTATATACTCTTGATCATGAAACATATAACTGTCATTATAAATAAAAACTAAAATTCTAAAAGTAGTGATTAATATTGAAATAATGGAAGTAACCGGATCAATCAGGTCATCAAACTTGTAAGAAAACTCATTACTTATGGTCCAAGACCATATATATTGACGGGTGAAACTTCAAGTTATTTGTTGAATAGAAAGATTGACCGAAAAGATCCCAGACATTTCCAAGCTTTACCCCACCAGAACTCATACTAAATCAAAATTTTGGACTGAAAGTGGCAGCAAATTGGACACCAAATAGAACCTTTCATAAAGGAAAACAAAACAAAAGCAATGAACATATTCATAAAAGACCTTACTTCTCATCAAAAGTATTACAACTACAGTCCAAGAGAAATATTCATAACATATTCATCTCCACAACATATAATTCTATATATTCATAAAACAAATCCATGTTAATCAGGCTGTGATGCACTATTATCAATGAAAATGGACAGACCATATTGAAAATCCTCAAGGAATAAATTTCAGAACTGAAATCTACAAAGACGTAAAAACTACATGGGATGCATGCTTACAGGGGCCAGTTTACCTTGGACTTGAACAAGCATGTGGCTGTTCTTCTGATAGTGGTCAAGTGGGTCAGACTTGATCCTCACAAAGCTTCCTACTAGCTTAGCTTCAAAGGTATCAGGTTCCTTGAGAAGTTTCTGAACTAAAGTCTTCTTCAGATAAACAAGCTTAATGTTCTCCGGAATTACAGAAGCAAAACAGCTCTTGGGAGAACCTTCTTCAATCTTCCTCTTTTGATAGCTCTTCTTCTCCGGTACCAAACTTTTCCGCTGCTGCTCCTCATCAGAACTGGAAAAAAAATCCGTATCCCATTCTTCTCTGTTCTCCGCATAGTGAGCCTCCAGCATGTCATATATTTGGATTCTGCTCAACGTTTTCTTCCCGAAAAGGGAATGCAGGCGCTCGTCGCAGACAACTCTCTTCTTCTTCTTCTTCGGATGCTGAAGGTTGTTCACCTGAATGTACTGTTCCAAAATCTCCGCGACGTCGTAGCGGGAGATCTGGGTGCTGGTATCTCGCCCAATTGATTCAAGAAATTCGATGAGCTGCTTTGAACCCCAGCCCTGAAACTCCAGCACCCTCTTCGTTCTAGCCCTTCGTTTCGACCCCACAGCAGGAGCGTATGAGAGATCACTGTAATCCTCCGCCCACAGCCATTCACGAGCTTCTTCTTCCTCTTCCTTGTCCTCCGCCCATAACCAATTTTGAGCTTCTTCTTTATTCCCCATCTTATCACAGAGTAATTGAATTCAACTCCGCAATTTCAAGCAGAAACAGACAATTACTGATAGCAAGTCTCTCCCATCCTGCTCGATTAAACCCATTAATTGAAGATTTTATCAGTTTTAGCTATAAAACGCAGAGTACGTACCAGGAGCAGCTTCAGTCACAATTTGAAAGTTCCACCAGCAAGACAGACCAAATGATTTTCTGTTAAATCTAATTAAACATAACGATTAAATAACGCAAATTTATGATCTGAAATTTATGTAAAAATGTTTTAAAGTGGGGCCCTTGAGTTTAGGTGTCTATCATACTTGCTCGAGTACAAAATAAACATCGTACTCTCTCTCTGGTACTTTTATTCTTTGCAATTACAAATTTATATAAAAAAACAATGCTTCAAACATTTTAGTAATTTTTTTATTTAAATAATTTTAAATTTTTGTATCAATTTGTTAAAAAAATAATTTCTTTATCTTTGTTGTCTTTTTTCATTTCAGATTTTTTTTTTTTTACGATAACAGTCTAACTTTCTTTAACCCCTTATTTAAATAATGATAAATAATAATTAATTAATATAGTATATATTTTACAGTCGTAGTAAAATTTTATTTATTTTAATTTTTTATATGATTAAATAGTATATAATTATTATATTTTTAATAAATTTTATAAATTACCTAATTAGTAGTATACGAAGAATAAATAATTATATTTTTCGTTATATAATTATAAAATAATTTTAATTTTCATTATACTTTCTTCAGATTTTTTCAAATATATTTTAATTTCTTATTTTTCAAAATAATTTTAAATTTAATATAATTATAGTTATTTATTTTTAATATATAAATAATAATTATTTATTTAAATATAAATTTAATTATATTTTTATATAATTTTATTTTTTATTATATATTTTTTATATATTTTTTAATATTATAAAATAGAATTAAATTAATAATTTAATTAAAAAATACAATTATATCATCTTCTCGACATATAATTGCTATACATTAAGGGAAGAGTTTGATTCCAGAATGAATAGACTATATATATATATATAAACTTATTATAGTTCAGTTTGATTCCATTATATCAATTACATGTGGTCTTCTAGTATCCTTAAATACAAGCCCCAGGTTAGCCCATAAGCTGAGCTACTTTGATCTTCAACTTGAGTAATTTATACTTCAATAAAATTGCAGACTCGGGAAAACATGATCCAGACATGAAAGAAGAACTCAAGACATGGTTGTCTTGATTTACAGAGAATGGTTACAAACACACCAGAGCATTAACCATGGATGCCAAGTTGACCTTCCTCAGCACTACCAGAAAGAAGAGCTCCAGAACTTGGTAGAGTTTGAAGATATCCCAATATTTTTTTTTTTTTATCTAAAGTACTGATTTTTTTCTTAGTTTTTGTGTATTTCTTTTATGATCTTGTTATATTGTTTGTGGGTTTCTGCATTTTGGGTTGAAGACGGGGTAAAACGATGTATTTATATTTGGGTCACTGATTTTCTATTCAAATATAATTACTTTCAAACGTAGAAAGAGGAATGTAATAAAAATAACGTGATTGATACTCAAAAATTAAGCTGCGTTTACATCAAAATCTAACAGTACTGGGACCCCAGCAACTCAAATGCATAACTTTCTCCATCGACGCCTCCGATCTGTTCTTCGCAGTCTGATTGCTGATCACATCAGACAAATTCTCCGACGAAGAAGAAGAAGAAGAAAACGTGGTTACCTGAGTAAACGACCTAACAACATTGTTCTTGGCGTGTTGATGCAGAGACCTAATCGTATAATTCCATCTACAAATCCCTTGATCCTTCAGCGCCTCCACCGCGCCGATGGTAGCGGCCACAGCCCAGGCTCTCATCGCACCGCTCATGATCTGATTTTTCGGTGAGTATTTTCTGTATCTTTTGGAATTTTTAAGCAGGAATTGAGGAGAATAAAAGAGAGATTTGAAGGGTTTTTGTGCTTTAATTTGGACTGTAGTTTGACGATGGTGGAGAAATCGGGAGTCTGGTTGTATATATATATATATATATAAGGAGGTGGGGAGGTGACAAGAAAAATGAAAAACCAGAGGCGGAATCGAAGCTTTTAAAACACCTACCACCTGTTTTGAGAAGGAGACAACCCCTGGTTTTTGGATTCTTTTGAGAAATAAATTAAATTAAATGTTTATTTTTATATTTATTTTACTTTTATTAATATGTTATTTTATTTCGATGCTTTTTTATCGTAAACCAGGTGCGCTATGCGCATTAGCGTGGGTGTTTTCGCATACACCGCGTCACGTGGTTAATTAGGACACCGAGGTGGTCTTTGGAAGCTGCTTTTTTTAAAAAAAAAATTATATTTTTAATTTTAAGTATAAAAAGATTAAATTTATAATCAGAAATGTAATTAAATTCATAATAAAAAAAATAATTTAAGATCATAATTATTTTTTTATATGGATAAATTTTATTATTTTATTAATTTAAAATAAATTTTACACATAAAATATGTGTATATTTTAATAAATGTATTAAGTTTCAGTATCCATAACCGATTTTTTTTAAACGAGTCTCGATAATTTTTTATGCACAATAAAATTTATATTAAATTTAAAAAATTAATTTATTTATTATCTTTATTATTTTTAGTCAGTAGCTTATAAATTTCTATCTTTTTTCTTAATTCTAATTATTTTACTTGCCAATTTACTTAATAAAAATCTTATTATTTCTTCCAAGGAAATGATTGTGAGGTTTTTTAAATAAAAAATGTAACTAATTAACTTGTATTTCTTAATTAAAAGTAATTAATTTACTTAAACTTGAGTCTAAAGCAAGTATTTCATTTCATCCAACCATTTGATTTAGAGGGAGACGTGCATAAACCTCATTAATCTTGGACTTCGAATCTATACGAATCATTATATGTACACATTTTTTTCAACTCTAAATTTAAACTGAAATTTTGAATCGTTCATCTTTGGACTTTCTTCATCTCAGCTCAACAAAAATTAGCTTTAGTAAGTATACTGTTTCAAGAAGAAAAGAGAGAGAGGATTCTGCGTAACCCATGTATGTATTTATATATTTAATCTATGTACAAAACTATGAAGGGAGAAGTTTAGTTGTTGGGTCCCCAGCAACTCAAATACATAACAGTTCTTAATGATTCCTCAGACTGTTTAGCCTTTTCATCTCTCAGCTTCTTACACACAGCAGAAGAAGATGGTGCAGAAAGCTTCTTGGCCTGAGAATAAGACGACCTCATATTACTCTTGGCGTGTTGTTGAACACATCTCATGGCGTAATTCCATCTGCAGAAGCCTTGATCTTTGAGTGCCTCCACTGCTCCGATGCTTGCAGCCGCAATCCAAGCTCCACTCGCAGAACTCATATTTTCTTGGAAAGTGATCGAGAAAGAAATGGAAAATTTGGAAATTGGAAGATGGGTAATCTGAAATTATGTTCTGGTTTTGGCTGAGTGAGGATTGATGTGTAAAATTTGTTTATATATAGAAAACCGGTGAAATGAAAGAGGAAGAGGACAGAGGGAGAAAACCAGAGGTGGATGATGATGGAAGCCTATTGTTTTTAGCTACTTGTAATATAAAACCAGCAAAAGTTGTACATACATATATATATATATATATATATATATATTTAATGCGTATATATCTCGAGAAAGAGACAGTTCGGAGTCTAGTAGTGATTACAAAACCAGCAAAAGTTGTATATATTTATAATATAATATTTTATGCGTATATATTTGGAGAAAGAGACATTTTGGAATCTTGGTAGTGGTAGATTGGCATTGTTGTGCTAAAAATTGCAAGTTACTACATATATATTATTACATCCACTTGCCAATGTGTGAGCACAAGGTTTCAAATATATATATATATATATATAATATTATTTTTTATGTATATACATAAATTTTTTCTTACTCTTGGAAGCTATAATATGGGAGTATTAAGCTTGACAATTAAGTTTCTAGAATACAATTTGTGTTCTAATAATAGTTGAAGTCTATAATTATACACTATAACCATCCAAAAGAATTTCATACAAATATTTACAACACCCACAAAAAAGAAGATGAAATTTCATTTGTTTTCTCTCAAATAGTAATTTTATATGTTCAAATTAAAATATATTCAAATATAACTTTAAAAGAAAATTAAAATTTTTTTGCTTGATTTTACAAATTAGTCTCTTCAAAAATAATTATAGTAAATGAAGTATAGGGAGGTATTTTAAAGATTTGTAGTAAGATTAAGTATTTTAATATAATGAAAATGAATTCAATTATATCAACAAATATAATTTTTAGGACTGACAAAATTTATAAGAAGTTACTACAAAGTCACTTTCTAATAAGTTTAACTTTTGTCTCTATTTTTTATTAGGGGCACGTTAGTGTTGACAAAAATATTTGTAGCCTCAAACTCGAACTTACTCGCTTAAATTGAAAAAAATGTAATTCATAATGGATCAGAATGAGTTAATTATATCTTTCTTTTGAAATAAAAGTATAAGGTATATGTTACTCACAAGTACTAAATGAATCGTAATGAGTCCAAATAATTTATATTTATATTTTTTTATAAAAAAAAAAAGTATAACGAATATATTACTAACAAGTAACAAAGAGATCGTAACGGGTCAAGGTGGTTTAAATTTATATTTTTTATTTTTAAAAATTGTAACAAAGCATAAAAAAATTCATAATACGTTAAGACGATTTAAATTTATATATATATATATATTTTTTTGAAAAAAAATGTAACTAAAAAGCATCAATGGAATGCAAAACCCATTTACAAAAAAAAACTTATAATTCAATTAGCATATAAATTAGATCACTGAAATTCTCAATGAAAAATAAATGTTATTTCATTATCAACATACTAATGAACTACAAAACCATCTGTCTCTAATTCAGTCTGTACCTCTTCCACTCTTAAAAACTTTTCTATTCCTCTCGTTCCATACAACCCAAGAAATATTCAAAGGAATGAGCCCCAAGAACTTCTTCCAACCCGCAGTACCCTTCCATGCCCAAATTTCATTCTTAACAGTGACCGCCAACACCCAATTGTACCATAGGATCCTAAAGGCTAGAGACCATAAGCCATATGCAATATGACAGGAATGTGATCACAAGTCTCCGCCGCATCCTTTCATAGACAACACCAGTTCACCACAGTTTTTCCACGTCTTATTAGCTTATCTATAGTCAAAATACTTCTACGAGCAGCTTTCCAAGCGAAAAAGCAATTCTTGGCGGTGAATTTAGTCTCCACGTCTGTCTAGAAGAGAAATTTTCTTCACTACCCTCTTTGTTGTTTAGATGTTAGTAAAATGAACCTACAGTGAATTGACCGGGGGGCTTAGAGTCCGCAAAGGTTGATCTTGATGCTCATTGAGTGAAATTGCTATATCAAAAATATGTGGGAACCTCAGTCTCAATGTTTCATCATCAATCAAAATGCCTTTGGACTAAAAACACTAAACTGAGTATAACTTTGTTCATCTGGGTCCGGACCAAATTAGCTTTGCTGTGTCTGAAGCCGTCTATCTTTTTTCATCTCAGCTAAAAACAATTAGCTTTAGTAAGTAATCTACTTCAAGATCAGCAGGAGGTTACATGTTCCGTCGACCAAAACAAGAAAGAGGGAGAGAATACTGTATAACCCATGTAATTAATCATTGAAAAAATAGAATTTATATATATTTAATCTATGTACAAAACTATGAAGGGGAAGTTTAGTTGTTGGGTCCCCAGCAACTCAAATACATAACAGTTCTCAATGATTCCTCAGACTGTTTAGCCTTTTCATCTCTCAGCTTCTTACACAGAGCAGAAGAAGATGGTGCAGAAAGCTTCTTGGCCTGAGAATAAGACGACCTCATATTACTCTTGGCGTGTTGTTGAACACATCTCATGGCGTAATTCCATCTGCAGAAGCCTTGATCTTTGAGTCCCTCCACTGCTCCGATGCTTGCAGCCACAATCCAAGCTCTACTCGCAGAACTCATATTTTCTCAGAAAGTAATTGAGAATGAAATGGAAATTTGGAAATTGGAAGATGGGTACTCTGAAATTATGTTGGTTTTTGGATGAGTGAGAATTGATGTGTTGAAGTTGTTTATATATAGAAAACCGGTGAAATGAAAGACGGAAGAGGACGACAAAGGGAGAAAACCCAGAGGAGGTGGATGATGATGGAAGCCTATTGTTTTTAGCTACTTGTATTACAAAACCAGCAAAAGTTGTACATACATTTATATTTAATGCGTATATATCTCGAGAAAGAGACATTTCGGAGTCCGGTGGTGATTACAAAACCAGCAGAAGCTGTATATACATATATATATATATATATATTTAATGCGCATATATTTTGAGGAGGAGACATTTCGGAGTGTGGTTATGATGGAGTGGCATTATTATGCTAAAAAGTGAAGTTACTGTATATATTATTATGCTAATATGCGAGCACACGGTTTCAAATATATTAATAAACATATAGTTTTATGTATATGTATATGTATATGTATATGGGAGTTCTAAGCTTGACAACTTAGTTTCTAGAGTGTGTAAGTCTATAATTATACACTATAACCACCCAAAAGAATTTCATACAAATATTTACAACACCCACAAAAAAGAAGATGAAATTTCATTTGTTTTCTCCTAAAAATAGTAATTTTATATGTTCAAATTAAAATATATTCAGATATAACTCAAAAAGAAAATTAAAATTTTTTTTGCTTGATTTTACAAATTAGTCTCTTCAAAAAAAATTATAGTAAATGAAGTATAGAAAAAATATTTCAAAGACTTACAATAAGATTAAGTATTTTAATATAATGAAAATAAATTTAATTATATCAACAAATATAATTTTTAGAAGTAATAAAATTTATAAGAAGTTACCATAAGGCTATTTTCTAGTAAGTTTAAGTTTTGTCTCTATTCTTTATCAGGGGCACATTAGTGTTGGACAAAAAAATTTGTAACCTGTAAGTTCTTCTAAATTTATATTAGATTTTAATTAATTAATTAAAGTTGAAACGATACGGATCATAATAAGTCAGGATGA